ACAAGTAAATTATATGTAAATACAACTTACTAAGTTTATGTTTGAATTCATGTAACTAATTGTAGATAAATATAATAAAATACAGAATAAAATTCTTATTTTAAATAGAAAATCTAAAATATAATTATAATAATTATTGAGTTCTAACAGAATATTTAGTTATTATCTTTGTAAAAATTATATTATTAAATCAAAAATAAATTATTTAGACATCAAACCTAAATTAAATTATAATAAAAAAATTGATTTAAAGAAATTACACAAAAAATGATAACTTTTATATATATTTGTAATTTTTATGATATCTTTAAATTTATATTTTACTAAGAAAAACATTATTTGTTTGTTCAAAACCACATAACTTCGTATTATAACATCGACAGAGACCAAAAAAATAGAATGAAAAACTGAAATCGAGATATATCTTACTGCATTGCACGTGTACCTTTCTAGTGTATATATATATATATATATATATATAGGGTTGGGTTCACGTGAGACCGAAGGTTTTTCGTAAGACCCATAAGACCAATTTATGTTCATTGATCAACTTTATAAGTTAATGATCTAATGGTCTAAAATTGGCACGGTGACAATTTTGTAATTATTGAGAATTCTCGTGGCATTTATGAATGTTTAGATCTGACGATAGTAGATCTAATCCAAGGGTTAAGAATTGGTCTTACGGTTCTTACGAAAAACCCTTGGTTTCACGTGATCCCAATTCTATATATATATATATATATATATATATATATTTGGAATAAATATTTCTTCCTTTATTTGTTAATATTTAAAAAATAAATCTTTTCCAAATGACATATAATATTTTTCTAAGCAAATTATTATCTAACAACTTGGATTTGTGACGTATTGGATAAGTCTCAGATGAATATAATGGAAATCTCATCTACTTCGGGTTTAAATCTTGATGTTATTATAACTTTTATGGACGTGAATGTTCACTTGTGATGATTCTGGATTATTCATGGTTTTCTCAAAAATTTGTCAATGGACATAAACTAACTCGAAAACTCATGAATACTAAAGAAAATAAATAATACAAAGTAGTTGTTAAATTATTCATTATGGATTTTGAAGTTGTTTAGTTAAACATGTTGATTTTAGTTATTATTTTTCACTATTTTATGAATTATTAAAGATACGTCAAACAAACATTCGATAAATATTGTTTCTCAATGTAAATATACAGACGATAATATCATTAATAAATGTAAATATGGTACTTGTGTCTTACGAGAAAAAGAACCCAAAATAATCCTACGTGATAACGCATCCCAAATTAATAGAAATTGGATTTACGAATAAGTTATGGGATACCAATATTATATATCATAGTTTAAGTTTTCGGAACTAAAACGTCGAATATAGGTAATCTCAACCGATTTTACATGGAACCAACCTACAAGGAGTCCACTATGAGAAGGTATTTTTTTTTGGCTCAATTAGTGGTTGAAGCTACACGTCCGAGGGAGGGGGGAGATTGAACCCGAGACTTGTTTTGTATTTGGGCAAAGTCGTGTTGTCTAAAGGTGTTCATTTAAACCACCAAACTGCACAAACCGCCCACGTGGCACTTCAAACTGCGGCTTAAAACTTCCGCGGTAGGAATTGTGGTTTGCATTTTTACCAAACCGCATATAAACGCGGTTCAAAACGCACCACACATTATATATATATATATATATATAATTGCTAAGTTTATGTAATATTTTTAATTTATGGTGTATGGTTTGGAAAAATGCTCAAATTGCATATGTGGTGCCGTTTGAGGTAGTCACCTTATAGTTGATTCTATAATATTGGATTATAGACGTAAAGTATGTTAGGTACAAACCACATAAACCGCACCGCACCAAACCGCATTTCGCGGTGCAGTTTTTCGTGGTGTATGGTTTGAAAAAAATGTTCAAACCGCATATGCAGTGCGGTTTGTGGTTTTGCTTCAAACCGCACTAAACGCACTGGAACACCCCTAGCGTCGTCCATTTGCAACTGAGCAGCATGCCAGAGACATCATTGTTTTAATTAACCAAAATCTATTAGGTTAGTCTGCTACTTTATGCTTTCGGCGCTACAAAATGGTATCAGAGTCAGTACTTATGTCATCAAGATGGTGGAGCAAACCTCATAGATCATGATAAGAGTTACTAAGGAAGGGTGTTTGTAACATCTTAGGTGTATTGCACATTACTGATAAACAAGGAGGATACCGAGTCGGATGACAAGGATGTCAGGAATTTAAGAGGGGAAGTTTGAACAACTTTTCCCCCGTTGATGAAAAATGGCATTTGAGTTTGTCAATTCAAAATTGTGGGTTATCAAAAACTTTAATCACGTCTCTAAAATGAATTAGAAGTGGGACGACACGTCCCACATCAATAGAAATTTTAGCTCCTTATAAACCCCAGGTACGAACTACCGATGATTTCTACTGATATTTTTAGTTATAAGGTTATGGGGCTAATCTTTTGTTCTGGACTTCAAAAGTTACAACATGTGAACTTGTTCATTATAATCTTTATATAGACTTCTTTTCGCTACATCATTTGCACCAACATTTGAATACAAATGTGATAAATAAAACGTTATTAAATTACCTTTCGGAGTAACTCAACTAATAAGACATTGTGTTTGCTTCAATTCCCTTCAGCGTCATTGAGGAGTTTGTTTGACTAATAACTTTTGGACCAAATGTAATTAGTTGAGGTGTACACAAACTGGACCATCACTTGAGGTTCTGCCTAATATTAACTTCAGAATCAAATATATTTAGTTGATGTGCACTGCACACAAACTGATCCAAACACCCAAGTTTATATAAAGAAAAGTTATAAAAAGAGAATTTATATTCACAAATGAAATTTCTCTTTCGGAGTATTGTGGGGTAACAAGTGATCTGTTCTTGCCCGCTGGATTCAAATACCTGATGTCTTCATTTATTTGGTAAAAAGTTTGACCATTTTCTCTCTTTTTCAATTGATGCAAGATTTTTTATGTTCTAATCAAATAATTTTAGACTTAAGAAATAATACGATCAGAGTTAAGGTTTGATTTAAAAACTGCGACGACATGATGTCCTATAACAAGGAGACGTATCGAAGAAAACAGTGTCGAAAAAATGGAAAGAAAACCATTTTAATTTTAATTTGGCAAGATATTTATTATAACTTCTAAATGTAGAAACGAATTAATGAAGTAGGTTGGGTTGGGAGGAAAACGTGTATGATAATTGATGAATCATGGTGAGGTGGCGATTCTTAGCACCAGCATGTGCACGAAATCAGTAATTTAAGTATTTCATTAATTTTATAGATTAAATTTACGATTAGAAGGTAAATTTGTCTAACACGAATGTCACATGGATAATAAATGCATGTACTGGTAGTTTTCATGATGTTACTATAAAAATGAAAATATAGTATATATTGTAAATATCTGCACTGCATATAAATTACGTTATTTAAATCAGATGCATCGAGTATTTGTCTACAATCTTGGGTTTATTTTGGTAAATGTCTGAAATGCTATTCACAGTTATTAAAAGGTTGTTGAAAATACTTATCAGTAACACAAATGTGTTTACCATCTTACGATGAATACACAGTAATTTTACGACATTTACAGTAAAATTCTGAAACGACTACCGAAATAGTAACGTAAAATGAGATTAATAATTCTCATGAATCAAAACTTTATCTAAATTAAAATCTCCATCCAAAAGAAAATTATTGAATTTATCCATCATGAAATGAAATGCATGTAAAACTAATTTTGTGTTTATGAAGTTTTTATTAAAGTTTTTGCTAAAACAAGCAATATAGTATAAATATATTACAACTCTTATTTCCTACTTTCTTTTTTTAGAGGCTGTTTGGTTCATACTGCGAAATAAAAATGAGAATGAAAATGACAGTGAATAAAAATAAGAATAAATTTTCATTTCCCCCCAGATTAATTTGGAATAAAAATTTGGGCTTCTGGAGGAATGAGCTCATTATCTATACTATATTATAAAACAATTGACAAAAAATCTTAAAAACTATTTTTTATGAATGAAATATTGTACATTGATGCATATTACTTAAAATTTCAAGATTACAAGTAAATTATGCACAAGTACAACTTATTAAAGCTCCATGTTTGAATTTGTATAACTAACTCCGGATAAACATAATCAATTAGAGAATAAATATCTCATTTTAAAATATAAAAAATCTAAAATATAATTAGGATAATTATCGAGTTCTAACAAAATAATTAATTATTATCTTTATAAGAAAGTTATATTATTAAACCAAATATAAATTACTTTGTTATTGAACCTAAATTAAATTATAATACAAAAAATTGAATTAAAAATTACACAAAAAATGAGGAATTTTAAATAGTTAATTTGATATTAATATCGATATATTTTTGTCAAATTTTTATGATATCTTCAAGTTTATATTTTATTCAAAAATAAAAACATCAACGCTTTTTCAAAATCACATAAAACCATTCTATAACATCGACTGAGATAAAAAATAAAATAAAATATTAAAATCAAGATGTATATCGCTGCATTGCACGAGTACTCTTCTAGTTATATTATATAATACCAAACAGTTTTTCTCATTTTCATTGATTACTGCTTAATACCTCTAACCAAACACCCTTGTTCATGCTTAACTCTTATAAACATTTTTTTAAAATAATTAAAAGAAAATCTTATTTAATTACTAATAGCATGTTTAGAAGGATTTATATGATAATTTCAATTATTATTTTTTTAATTTTTTTGTGCTCTTAATTATGTGGCCAATGAAAGCAATTTAGTAGGTTGTATTTTATGAATTTTATAGCTTATTCACTGTGAATATGTCAGTTTACTTTCTGCCAAAATTTAAAATTACATTTACTACCCCCCAACTGTGCCATACTCTCACTTTCCCCCCATAAATAGGCACCTCTCATTTTCCAAATTCTTGCATCAACTTCTAGTCTTTTAGAGGGTAGAATCCAAAGAAAAAAGGTGAAAAATATGACAAGGTTGTGTCTCATGTTACTTGTAGTTTTAGCTGTAGCGGTCTTCACCGCTACTGCTAGAGATGTTCCTAAACAAAACCCAGATACAGTTGGTCTTACTGACCAGAAAAATGTTTATACTTTTGGTGGAACGGGTGGGTTTAATGGTATCGGGAACAATGGTTTGCCCATGGGCGGGATGGGAACTGGGGTTGGTGTAGGTGGTGATTTTGGTGGTGCGCATGGAGTCGGAGGTGTGGGTGGTGGATTTCAGTATGGTGGACCTGGTGGCCCTGCTGGTGGTATTGGAACTTTTGGAGGACTTGGTAACGGATTTGGTGGCTTACCAACCCTCGGTGGTGGCGGACTTGGCGGTGGTGGTCCGATTGGTGGTGGCGGATTTGGTGGGATACCTATTGGCGGTGTTCCTATTGGTGGTGGCGCTGGTGGTATCCTTCCTACTCCCTGAAGCTTGATCTTGAGTTCATTAATTAAGTAGCTAGCTACTTTTATCAGTTCTGAAGTTAGCTTAGTTTGTGCGAGATGGTATGTTTTATTTGTTTGTATCGTTAGCAACTCTTCATTTTCATATGATCTCTGTCGTTTTTTCACGTTGTATTTTCATAATATTTATAAATCTATTTATATTCAGTTTCATGTTCTAATTTTCCATCATGAGTTTGTATGTCTTGTTATAGAAAACGTTGTTTTAGTTGTTAACATATATAAACATCAAACAATTTCTAGCTTAAAATAGACACAAATCGTTGTGGCTCCATCGTTGTTGGAAAGTACGTATTTACTCAAGATTTGTTAAACGCTGGTTGGTAATTCATAATCTTTTTTATTAAGAAAAAAATTAAAAAGCATTGTTATATCCTTATAAGAATCTTTTTAATACAATTCCAGGGTCGTTTATTAAACGTTAACTGGTAAAAGTCACCACTCTTGCTTACTTTGTCATGTAATATTCTCGATCATCAAAATAAATAGTTGGTAAACGTCTTTTACCCGATAATCATTAACCAAGTAAGATAATGGGTCATTGTATGTTTACTTGATAAAGCAAGTGATATCTGATAAGCTGATAAACTACATGTTTGTAATAACGTAAGTAATGTCTACTTTTTATAGGTGTATTGATTTTAACACACGTTTGTTATAAGGAATTTCGAAAATTGGAGGGAAAACATGAAGTTAATGAATTTGGGGTCAATAGAGAAAGACCAATTAAAAGAAAAATAATTCGGTTGGTGTGTAGTAATAAATGAAACAGATTTGATATAAATGATTTTTATTTAATGTTTTATTTTTATATTATATTAGAAGAGTATTCGCGTAATGGAACGAGATACATCTTGATTTTAATATTTTATTTTATTCTTTATCTTAGTCGATGTTATAATATGGCCTTATGTGATTTTGAAAAAACGATGATGTTTTTATTTTGAATAAAATATAAATTTGAAGATATCATAAAAATTTGACAAAAATATATCGATATTAGTATCAAATTAACTATTTAAAATTACTTATTTTTTGTGTAATTTTTAATTCAATTTCTTTATTATAATTTAATTTAGATTCAATAACAAAGTAATTTATATTTAGTTTAATAATATAATTTTCTTATAAAGATAATAATTAATTATTTTGTTAGAACTCGATAATTATCCTAATTATATTTTAGATTTTTTATATTTTAAAATGAGATGTTTATCCTCTATTTGATTATGTTTATCCATAGTTAGGTACACGAATTCAAATATAAAGTTTTAATAAGTTGTATTTGTGCATAATTTACTTGTAATCTGAAACTTTAAATAATATGCATTAATGTACATTACTTCATGCATAAAAAATAGTTTTAAGAGTTTTTGTCAAATGCTTTATAATATAATATAGATTAGTAAGATGGTTATAAATTTTATTAAAGTTATAAACATTTATTTTCCTAAAAATATCGATAAGTATTTAAGGAAAAAAAGATGCGTAGAAACTGCATAAGAAGGTTTAATGATTAATCATGATTACTATAGTTTAATTCACCGTCTTATAAAGTGTTGAAAGCCTTGAAAGTTTGGTCATTCATACATCAATGGTGGAAGACCGAAGACAATATTGGTAATTCGACAATCAAGATTTTAAACCATCTGAGTGAATCTCGGCATTCGTGTTGGCATATATTTGGATAAAGTCTCCTCACCCTTTTGTCAATTGAGATACACGTCAGAGGCCTGATCCGCGGCATATATGATATGGGAACTTCGTAATCTGAAGACCTTGTATTTGCAGGTATACACAGATCTTAAGACTGGATCTTGAGAAGAATTCAAAAAGGTCAAATTTCGCAGGATCTTTGGCTCATTGCGCCTACTTTTTACGTCCCCTTCAAAGCTATGAGTCGTTCTGTTAGTTGGTAACTTGGGGGTAAGGCCGTGGGTGGTCTTGGCTTCTTTTGTTGTTTTTGTTTCTTTGTTTGGTCTAATTCTGGTTAGTTTTGTTTTACGTTAGCTAGCTTCGGGTGGTTCTACTTGCAGAAATACTTGACGGTTTTTCTATACGTTTGATTGGTTTTTGGTAAACATTTGACCTTTAAAAAAAATTCAAACAAGTTTCAAGATAAAATTAATTATTTATGTAAATACTACAAATAGTGTTCCTTGACTTGTAGGGGTTTTTTTGCGATTATTTATTACTTTACAATTAAGGTTTTTCATCAGATGATGTTAGTCATTGAGGAGATGTATAAGTAAAACTTGGAATAATTTAATTAAATATAAAAAACAAGTTTGATAAAATACCCATTTATATAAATATAGGGGCACATTCAAGGAAGAACTGGTTAGTTTGTGGTAACCGTGAGATTCAATCTCAACTACAAATCAGTAGATAAATTAGGAAATTTATAATTTTGGTAATTTCTAATTAAAATTTTAATGCAAGGACATTTTAGGTATTTTCTCTCCTCTCTCCTCTCTTCTCTCTCCGTCCCCGTCTTCCAACCACCGTCCTCCTTCCACCATCCTCCGGTGATACCACAGTGTGATACTCAAGCACATATAAGATGCATTGTGGTACCACTGTGTTACATATCCGATCGACCGCACAAACGACCACAGTGTGATACCCAATCACATATATGATGCATTGTGATAACACTGTGGTATCACCGGAGGACGGTGGTCGGAGGCCGGGGGACGGAGAGAGAAGAGAGGAGATAGGAGAGAGGAGAGAAAATACCTAAAATACCCTTGCATTAAAATTTTAATAAAAAATTACCAAAATTATAAATTTCCTAATTTATCTATTGATTTGTTTTTGAGATTGGACCTCACGGTTACCACAAACTAATTAGTTCTCATTTGATTAGGTCTCTCTCTCTCTCTCTCTCTATATATATATATATAATTAAAATTTACATTAATTATCTTAAATGTGTGACTCACATTGGATCTCATAGTTATCACAGATTGTTTAGTTCTCATTTAAATAGGAGAGATATATATGGGCTCATTTAAGGAAGAACTGACTAGTTTGTGGTAACCCGTGAGATCCAATCTCAACCACAAATCAATAGATAAATTAGGAAATTCATAATTTTGGTAATTTTAAATTAAAATTTTAATGTAAGAACATTTTGGGTATTTTCTCTCCTCTCTCTGTCCTCTGTCCTCCGGCGACCGTCATCCGGCTTTCGGTGATACCACTGTGATACCTAAAAATATTGACTCTGTTAAACAAAAGACATAATGTGATACCCAAACATATATAAGATGCATTGTGATACCATTGTGTTACATCTCCAATCGACCACACAAACGACCTCAGTGTGATACTCACGCACATATATGATGCATTGTGATACCATTGTGGTATCATGGAGGACGGGGAGAGAAGAGAGGAGGAAGAGATGAGAGTTTTAAAATACCTAAAATGTCCTTGTATTAAAATTGTAATTCAAAATTACCTAAATTATAAATTTCCTAATTTATTTATTGATTTGTGGTTGAGATTGGATCTCATGGTTACCTCAAACTAATTAGTTCTCATTTGATTAGACCTATATATATATATATATATATATATATATGCTCCCACATAGGTTTGTATGTCGAAATTCTTAGTCGGAAGGAAGTCAAAGTGATAGACAAATTGTCCATTAAACATGTTCCACTCTCTATTAGTTGTTTCTATTTCGAGGTGGTATATATCTGTGCGTTGATGTATATACTAAATGGGCCTCCCTTCCTCCTATCGCCATCCCCATCACCTCTACATAAAATCGCTACGCCTTTAACCGGTAATGGGACCAACTACTTGTCTGGTTACTACTGATACATATATTTTTCCCGAGGACCTGGACCAACAACCGGTTACTACACTTCCATTTGTAACGGGCCTTGATAACTTTATTGATTACTATCAACATATATATGTTGCCTGAAAACTGGCACCACCTTAACTGATTATTACACTCTCGTTCGTAATCGGACCAAACAGGTTATGGAAAAAGAAATTTTGCCAATAAAATAGGAATATGTATAAGGGGTTGTTTGTTTACTTCTTAATAGTTCCATTAAGAGGCAATCTCTGAATCATTAAGAGGTGAATCTTGTTTGGTAAAAAAAAAGTCTGCCTCTTAATGATTATAAAACCCTCTGAATGATTTTGTATCATGGGTCTTCCTTAACCGTTAAGAGCCCTAATTTCATTGTAAGCAATTACCAAACAATTATATTTCATTTTACACTACATCATGAGAGTCTCTTAGGGTGTGTTTACTTGGGGCTTAATGAGCTTAATCAATAAACGAGCTTATTCGCACAGCCAAAATGGTGTGTTTACTTGGGGATTATTCGCACATAAATGGGTTTATTCGCACAGATCAAAAATAGCCCTTGTCCACATTAAGCCCAAAAAAAGACAATCAGGGGTAAAATACACGCCTCTCGCCTCTCTCAACAGCCTATCGTCGTCTATCAGTCAATATCGATTGCGAAATCGATTGCGACTGTGAAATTGATTGCGAGCTTCAAATCAATTTCAAGGAACCCTACTTGAAAACGACTATGAAATCGATTGCAAGCTTCAAATCGGTAACTACTTCTCCACTATACTATCGATTTTGCTTTTGAGAAAGGAACACTACTTGAAAACGACTGTGAAATCGATTGCACATGATATTTTTGTTTGCTTTTGGTTTTGCTTCTCTATTATATCTATCGATTTTGCTTCTCAATGCGCCTGATTTTTAGAGATTTTGATAGGCCCTGTGATTCATGTCCAGAACCCCTGTGATTCTGTTTGCTTCTCCATTGCTTATGTTTCCATCTGTTTTAATCTATTAGTCTACAGCTTCTGTTTGCTTCTCCATTGCTTTTTATGTTATTGTATCTATTTGAAAATTATTTGTATGACATGTCTTCATCCTCAGGGGTAAGTTGGTCATTTCTGTTATTCAGACTGTTGATTCGGATAGAAAAGTAAACAACAACATAAATTTATCCAGACATACAAATTTACCCAGACAGACAAATTTATCCATACAGGACTTAACAGAAAATTTGGTAAACAGCCCCTTAATCATTCTGATCACTTAATGATTCTACACAAAACCATTTAACAACTGTCAAACAGCCCCTAAGAGTATTTAA